TTACCGAACTTAGAGGAAAACGCAGTAATTGTGTTGGATAATGCGCCTTATCATTCTCGAAGAATGGAGAAGGTCCCAACAACGGCTTCAAGGAAAGTTGATGTTCAAAATTGGCTCCGCTCGAAAAATATCAACTTTGAAGAAGCAATGCTGAAAGTACAATTATTAAGAATTGTCAAGGATCACAAGGCGGAATATCAAAAATACGCCATTGACGAAATGGCAGCAGGTCAAAATAAAACTGTGCTCCGTTTACCTCCATACCATTGCGAGCTCAATCCCATTGAGCTCATATGGGCAGAGGTTAAAAATTATATAGCTAAGCACAATACAACTTTTAAATTTTGTGACCTCAAAGGACTTTTCAAAGAAGCACTAGAATTAATAACAGCGCAAAAATGGGAAAACTGTATTAAGCACGTGAAAGACAAAGTTGAAAAGAGAATGTGGTAACTGGACAATATTTTAGAGGAACAAGTCGAGCCATTCATTATTGACGTTGGTGCTTCAGGCAGTAGCGATGATGAAAGCTCATCAAGCTCATCTTTCCAATAAAAGATGTCGTTCATCAAATTCGGTAAGTTATAAGTAATTATAAAGCTACTGTATTTTTTAATTAATTATTGACATTTTTGAACCCATTTTGGCAAAACCTATTCAAGAATCTACTTTCTGACAATGTTCAACCATGCACATTTTTTTATGTTTTGAACGTTTTAATTTGGTTACATATTTACCTAGAAATCAAAAAATATACTAATCAATATTCTAAAAGCAATTTTAAGAGATATACAATTATTTTTAATTTAGGCTAATTTAAACGCCATTTTGAGATTATATTCGACTGTATTTCACCAAACATCAGGCGGCATCCGAAGCTGGAAATCGAAGCGAAAATTTTGAAACCCTTATGTATATTTACATCATTATATATTTCTTACCCCACCCCCACATGATCCTATATCCATCACCAATCGTATACACATCGAATTGTGCTAATTTACTACAAAGTTACGCAAAGCAGCATCTACTATCTAAAATATGTACTGCGTCACTCTTAATACGTCCCTGCCGAATGTTACAGCGTTCGATGATCACGTGGTCTTGTTTATGTCCGGTCTATCTCTTATCTGAATATACTGTAGGCATCTTCTGATCAGGTGGTCAATGTCCTCCTGTGGTATCTCATTCCAGGCAACCACCACCTCCTCTCGAAGTGCTTCTAGAGTCTGAGGAGGACGTTGCAAATTGAGCAATCTCCTACCCATCATATCCCACACGTGCTCAATTGGGGATAAGTCGGGAGATCTTGGTGGCCATGGTAACAATGTGACATCATTATGTTGAAAGAAGTCTATTGTGACTCTTGCAACATGTGGTCGGGCATTATCTTGTTGGAAAGTTGGATCTGCCATGGTGTCAAGACAGGGTAAAAGATGGGGTTCTAGAAGTTCGTGGATATAACGCTGCGCATTCATGTTACCTCTGATGAAGATTAAAGGTGACCTGGAACCATAAGCTATAGCACCCCAAACCATAACTCCAACAGTGTGATGAACATGTCTTTCAACAAAAAACTGTGGATTTCTCCTTTCACCACGTCGCCTTCTAACCCTGGCACGACCATCGTGCATGACTAAACAAAATCGAGACTCGTCACTAAAGACAATACTGTTCCATTCCTGATCCCAGAGTGACCGTTGTCTACACCACTTAAGGCGATTATGTCGGTGTTCTCGAGTTAAAGGGAGGACCCAGTGTGGCCGGTATGAAAACAAGCCAAAACTTCTCATTCGTCGGTAAACACTTCGCATGACAATAGGTCTTCCGTGTTCTGCAAAACATTCATTTGCAATGGACCTGGTAGTGGAGAAACGGTCCCTTAAGGCCAATAATCTTAGGCGGCGATCTTCACGGTCTGTTGTTCTACGGCGGCGTCCAGTGCCCCTTGTTCTTTGCGTACGGCCTTCTCGAAGCCATGCCTGACAACACCTAACCACAGTGTCTACACTTCTTTGCACTCTAACTGCAATTGCCCGAAAAGAAAGTCCAGCTTTCCGAAGTCCCACTATAAGGCCCCTATCAAACTCACTAAGTTGACGAAATCGTACAGGTCTCCGTACTCTAGGCATCGTAACCGATCGTAAAGGATGTCAAGAACCAAAATCTGCCAACGTTGATTCTTTACTGCGGCTAAAATATTCATTTTTAGAGCGTTAGTGAATTAAAAAAAGCAGTATAAAAACCGGAATGTCCAACTGATAAGGCTGAAAATTTTTTCACTTGTTATTTACAGTAAGATAAATACAGTCACCAACTTTTATTAAAATAAAACCATTTAAACTGGGTGTTCGGATTTATATGTCACTTAGTATATCTTAGACAAAATTATTGTTACAAACTGATACGCAACGTCTGGGTGAGACCTACTAGGACTGAAATATACATATTAAACGTTAAATGGGACGCATTGAAACCTTTCGGATAATGATGCTGGGACACATACGTCCCGAGAGGCTCGAAAGGGTTAAGTACTTCAAAATACCGTGTCACAGTGGTTCAAAAGCCAGGCGATATTATAGTGATGCGCATGTTTGTCACATCAAATGTTGAAATGACAAGGAGCAAAAAAACTGTACGATGTCTGTAAATTAAGTGATGAGACTGGCAACGTAGTGTTCGATCTGACAACAATGCAGGTGCCAAGCTTATAGGGGAGACAGGGGGACATGTTCTTTGTATTCAGTACAAGTTTGAACCCGCTCGAGTCATTTGGATGTCCGTAGCTATTTTTTCTGTGAAAGTTTTTTATATTGTGTTCTAGAAATGAGTGACTTCAGTTTCAAGCAACGGTGTGCTGTCAGGTTTTTCGTCAGACTTGGGCACAGTGCTGAAGTTGAAAAATCATCTCAAGGGAATATATTTTGGGACGGTCGAAAACATTCAAACGGCTGTAACCGATTAGCTATTCCAGTATCGGGGGTTCCAGCACTGCTATGAGGAGTGGAGGAACTGCCTTCAGAGCTGTCATCACTTAATTTACAGGCCGTATAATGGAGTACTGCCAGGAGTATTAAGGGGTAGCAAAATTTATTCTAGAGTCAAAGGAACGTATAATTAATATATGACTGTACGACTTGCCAATAATTCATAGTTTCTCAAAATATTAGAAGAGGTGTATTTTCAAAATCCACTATTTCTTAGTTGTCTTCTAGATATTTATGTGACAAAATATAGTGAATCCACTGAACAATACAACTCTTTCTACTTTCGACCTGCAATTTTTTCATACACGAATAGAACCTTTTCTAGGCAAAGCCTTTCATATCTGGGACGCCTTGCTGTAGTTCGCCTTGACGAACGTCACGACAACGCCATTGTAGCCCATTATTGAGAAAGGGCGATCCAACGATGGACAGTGAATTACCATTAAGGCTTTGGAGTCTGGATGAAATAAACAAACAACAGGATAAGATTCATCTGGATCCATGCGGGTATTATGTAAAAAAACCTATAAAACGTCAAAAAACCTATAAAGTATCATCTTGCAGACTAGGTAGTGTTTTTGCATTTGTAATTTCCAGAATGAATAAGAAACAGTGAATGCGCAACTAATTTCTAGCTCTGATTCTCAAGTAAGTGTATTTGAGACAAGAATCCAATGGAATTATCATCAAGTCTAGCAAACAACAATACTTATGTCAATATAATTGTATGCATTTATTTTATGACTACAATTACATTGACCTCAAAATTTAAAGAAGGCAGAAAAAGACGTTTACCGCCTTTTACCTAAATACGGCTAAAGAGATCCTTTTTCAGGCATAAACCTATCAAGGGAGATACGCATTGCGTACCCTGTAGTTCGCCTTGACGGACGTCACGATCACGGCATTATTGCCCATTATTGGAAAAAGGCGATCCAATGGTGGCCAGTAGTTTTCCGGTGAAGCTCTGGCATTTAATTCGGCTAAGCGTGGAATCTGGATAGTATAGAACGCCGGGATGAGCTTCCTCTGGATCCGATCTCTGGAAACGTGCTTATGGCCGCGACGTGCCTGAATCAAGCGGTTGCCTACTGCAGTTATAATCAATTTATGGCTTCTTCGCAGACTCGCCACCATCGGTCACTGCATACAGATCGCGCTTTTATTAAATTTCTTTCAGATATATCGGCAGCTCTTTCTAACCCATTCGCAACGTTTTGCATGCATTTTATATCAGAATCTTATTGCTGATTTTTTTCTACTTCCAAGGAGTCTCCAGGACCACAACACCGATTTTGGGTAGGTCTTGACTTCCCAATCCATGCTTTAACAGCGTAACAGCATCAACCGATGAATACGTTTAAAATAGTTTTGGGTAGTTAAGGTTTTCAAAATGGGTAGAGAAAAAGTTATTACATAGTGAGAAAAAAGAACATAGACAATGGACACCTCAACAATGGTGTGCAATACAATGGAGTGATGAGGCCCGATTCGAAGTTTGTGTTGGTGACAGTCGCAGTAGAGTTATTCGCAAAAAAAATGAAGCATTCCATGTTGACTGTCTAAAGAGAAAAGTGAAATTTTCAGCATCCATTATGGTCTGGGGCAGTATGTCATCCAGAGGAGTAGAAAAACTCCATTTTATTGATGGAAATGTGGATACAAACAAATATTTGGCAATTTTAGAAGAATCGCTTTTAACAGTGATGGAAGAATGTTTGACATCCGGCCAAGATTTTGTGTTTCAGCAAGATGGTGCAGCATGCCATACCTCAAAAAAGGCTATAAAATGGATGGAAGAAAATAATGTACCACTTTTGAAATGGGTTTCTAGCAGTCCAGATCTGTCACCTATTGAAACTTTGAGGCACGAGATGAAAAAGGTTCTACTACAACATCCTGCTCGTACAATCACTGAACTGAGACAAATATGGGATTGTTTTGCACCAAATTTTTGCCAAAACTTGGTTAACACTATGTCCCAAAGAATATCCGCCGTAATAAAAAATAAAGGTGATGTTACCCAATGGTAATCTTTCAATTGTTGCTTTGTTAATTTCGCGCATTTATTCGCACATTGTTTATTTGTTCAGATGTTCTATTAGTTATAGGTCTAAGTGATTTCAAATATGTATTTTTTACGAGTAGAGTGTATCTAAACTGTTTTTGAGAAAATAAATTGTTTTAGAAGTAAATAGTTTCGTCATGTTTAGTTTATAAAGGCATATTTTGGTACAAATCTTGAAGTGGGCCAACTGAAGTGGGAAGGGGCTCGTATATTTATTGTATAAAACTGAAAATACTGCACAACACCATAGATAACACGTTCAATTACTCATTTTAAGTATGCGAACTCCTCCAATTTGTTGTCCTTTCACATCCACCTTTTTATAAAAGCCCTATTCATTGTTTCTTGAATCTCCACCTGCGGCACACTCGTACGTTGAGAGCCGTTGAGCTACTCGCGGCAGTTTTTACAGAAAAGAAGAATCGCACTTCAGTGTGCTGACTGGTGTTTACCATCGGATATCAGATCTTTTAGAAATAAATAATAGACTAGAAGTTTGCATGCAATTATTGTAATATTTCCACAAATAAGAAAATAGATTAGAACAAACCCCAGAAACGAGCATCGACGTATTTAGCTATGATGCAGCTAACCAGGTATAAGGCATAGAAGGAAATTCTTTGAATGTCTATTGCGCTATGTGCTATTGGTGGTTATTTTTTATTGAATATAAAGTTCTGGAAATAACCACAAATTTCAAATATATCCATTTGAAGTTGATGGTGCCATCATCGAGCAATTGGAAGGAAAAATGATATAGAAGTAATCTCAGCGTCAACAAAAAAACTATCAATATCACGATGCTCCTTAGATTGCAAGCACGTATCACACATAATCTCAAAATTCAATAGCTGATTGTTACTTAAGTTATTCATCCTTTGAAAAGTTTCCAGCTACTCCTTTTTAATTCAATAGATGGTTCCCAAGAATATAGTTAATATTAAAAGAATCGAGCAAGCCACGTGGGCGAGCTTGTCGAATTTTGAAAACGGTACATCTTCAAAAACAGGACACTGCATCTGTGCATGCAACACCGTTGACGAAATGATATAAAGGGTTAAGCTAATATCAAAGTTGCCTCCTAATTCATTGTCAAGTTTGGGGCGATTTATGCTTTTTCGTTTTCTGATCCACCGCCACTGGACCGATTTTCGAAAACTACGAAGCTTTTTGGACCTTGAAATATCTGAATATATATTTAATATTCTTTGGCATTACGTGAAAATTTCAATAAACCCAAGGGTTCTTTCTAATTCCAATGACTAATTGACAAATAGACAGACATATCGACACACTGACAGACAGACCGATGGAAACCAGAGACATTGTTTCTATATCGAAATTTTTTCCGATTGCAATACTTCATCCTAATGCAAGGTAAAACGGATAGTGTTATAAATATCCAGATTCTCCGGTTAAAACAATTTCCGAAAATAAACTTCCGCCAATTTTATCGACACTGGGTGTAATATAATACTATCAATTTTTAATAGTTTCCAATTATATTAAATTGCTTCTGTTAAACTGCAGGTTTCTGCATTCTTATTAATATGTTATCCATAGCTCAAATGTCATCTAACTTAACGCATCGGGTACTGAATTCCAAACTATTCTCAGTTTACATTGAACGATTTTGATTGAAATACACGCAAAGTGAACAACAAACGCTAATTCTCCATAATTTTTGCTCTCGCTGCCATGGGTATTAATCTGTTCTATGCTCTATAGGCTGCTCTGTTGTTTACGAAAAGCAGATAATATTCGGAGCGAATAAACCAGTGTAAACGTAATCGAATATTTTTATTTAGTTCCTTTATGTCACCACAGTTTTGGGCGTACTCTATGACGTTGCGATATCCGATTGTTCGGTCAATAGAGGCGAACCACTGTTTGTTGTCCTACAAAGGGACGGATTATCCCGATTTTTTGAAGCGATGACGCCGATGCGTTTGCCGACCCTATCTATTTGTGGTTTGGTTTCATTACAGATTACAGGAGTCCAATATAAAGCTCGTATGCATGAGGATCTCAACACCTGTGGAAGATACAGCTTAGGTTAAATTAAGAAGAAGCTGTCTTTTTTGGGGCGTATTTACATGTCGTTGGGAAACTTAAAGATTTCATGTATTTGGGACTAATATTTAGGCACTACATTTTGTGTCTGTCGTTTCGTTTTTAGAAACCATCAATTTTATTTTTTTATATAGTTATACACAAGTATACCTTGAATCTTTTTTTTACTAATTCGACGATGTATCACATGTTACATTTGTTTTCTTAGTTAGAAAGGCATTTTTTTTATTCTTCTAGTTTCATCAAGTATGTATTGCAAACAAATATTTGATGTATATTTATGTGATTACTAATAGACGCATATTACATATTACCTAATGACATGATGCCGTAGAATTCTATAAAATTGTGATATAGTTATATTCAGAAAAAAGAATACATTTTTAACATTGTTTTCATTTTTTTCACAATAGGTATTCAAATAGGTTGCCATTATTTTCTAAACATAAATATGATCTTCTAACAGTAGAATTCAAAACAATACGTGACATTTCTGCTCTAATCATACTGAATGACTCCTTTACACGTTCTCGTAACTGCTGCTCAGTTTCAAAAGTGTGCTGATAAACTTGGCTTTTGATAAAACCCCAAATTTAATATCACAGTAAATTCAAAATTCTACAGTATGCATGTAGATCCCACTTCAATGTTATATTAAGCTTGTGAACATTCCGCATTATATTAATTTTGACCCTAATCAGATGGAATGGTAACGCTCTTGTCCAGTGACATGTACACTATCGCAACTATCACACAAATCCCTAATTGTATGCATTCCTTTCCCTAGGGGCACCTGCCCTAACGCTATTGTGCTATCCAATTCCCTAATTCCCGTCGTTGTTCCCGCTCCACTGCCGTATCTTGATACTAACCATTGTTTAATATGTAAATATGTATATCTAGGAACAATCGTCAAGTAAACTCGGGTTGGAATACGTAACATATGTAATAGGACTAATCAGGAGCAGATCTTCTGATTTCACAATATGGGTATGGATGTACTGTCGACGTGTTTACAAGTAATTCAGGTTCCTACTGTCTGTTTGTCAAATATCTACAACAGGCTCAATTGTCATAACAAATGCCTTTTACGATATGCTGTCATCGAAATAAGACATAGTACGGGCAATATCTTCGCATCCGATGGGAAAACAGGTCTATTTCGGATTTTTTACGAAATATTAGTCATAAAGGGTCCCTTATAACGAACCTGCATGATGCCAGGATTTGCTTCAGATATTTTTGTTATACCAGTTACAATGTTTTGCGAGATACTCTGAACAAAAAACGTGCTTCAGAACTGTTCTTCAATATTTGAAAAAGTGCATCGAAAAACAATCTGAAAAAATCATTTTTTAACAAGTGTTTCTAAATATCATTAAAATATCCATTAACAAAGCATTTCAGTACGTATTGTTAATGTGAACCTTTGCTTTTCAAATGTTAATCGAGAGCATGCTCAGTGTATGTTTTACATACTTATTAACATTATCTATCATATTAAAATGTCGAATTGTTTTTTTAGAGTCGAAAATGCATATTTCATACTTTTTCAAATATTGCATCGCTTATATCTCGAAAACCTTAGAGAAAAGTTAGCACCTTTTTTGTTCGGTCTAACCCAAAAAACCTAGAAGCTCTTTGAAGCAGCTAAAAAAAGCTAAAGTAAATTTTCCGAATTTTTTTAAAATTTCTTATTCTTCCCATCAGACGCGAAGATATTGCCCGGACTGATGTGTCAAAAGCTCAATAGTTGTGACCAACTAATAGAAGCAAATTTTACAATACATTACGATCTTTTAGCATATACAGTGCTTTTCTTGAATGTTATATGTAATTATTAAATGTACCACCATTTTGTAGTAGGTATTGACTTTATATTCTAGCGTTATAAAGTACTCGTCGGCTTCAAAATGATGTGTACAGGGTTATCCAAATTAAGTGTCCACCATTGGTAACTTTGTTATTAGTAAAAATACAAAGTTGTTTAAATTAGCAAACTAGTAGCATTTTAACGCTGGTAAAAATGAGAAATAAAAAAAAACAATTGAGAGTCGTTATTTTGATTTTTTTCAGTAAAATAACATTTTTTAAATGGAAACCCCTGTATATTATATTTTTTTCTGTTAAAGCATCAAATTTTAAACAAAAAAGTTCATAATGACTTTTCCGCTAAAGTCAAAAATAAAGTCAAAATAACGATAAATATTTTTAATTTTTGCAGTATTATAATATTAAGACGGCTATGAAAACAACATGACGTTCGCGATTTGACAGCATTAAGATAAGCGACAAATTGTTAAACTGGACATACTCGCAACTAGAAGGCTTTGGAAAACAATGATAAAATCAAATAATGTCAAACATTAGTGTAAATACTTGTTTATAAGCTTTATTGTGTCATTAATTTAAAGAAAAATGTTCTCCCATGAAGAAAAGTGTGATATGGTAGAATGCTATTTAGTGTGCAGAAAATCCTCCTTGAGAGCAAGAGAATACTACAGTGAATTATATCCCGCTCGCATTCAACCGTATGAACGATATTTTCTGAGACTTTATCGAAAATTTAGGGGCAACGAAAATGTTTTTGCTAAAACAAGGGCAAAAAAAGAATTCATAATAAGCGAGGCCACGGAAATTGCAGTTATTGGATATTTTGAAGCTTATCGTGAGAATTCAATAGCAGATATTCTCAAGGACTCTAATTTCAGTTATGGTACTGTTCAAAGGATTTTAAAAAAATACAAATTTATTCCGTATAAGTACCGACCAGTTCAAACGCTTTTGGCAGGGGATCCAGAGAGAAGACTTGTTTTTTGCCATTGGTATCTTAGCTTCTGTCGCCAAAATGTAAATAACTTTCGTTACCTTTTATGGACAGATGAATCAAATTTTTCAAATTCTGGAATGTTTAATAGAAAAAACCACCATTATTGGTCAAGAGAAAATCTTTTGTTAGTACATCCAAGAGGCCCACAAGTCCGTTTCAGTTTCAACGTTTGGTGCGGTATAATTGGTTCAAAAATTG